AGTCGGCCCCACCCGACTTTAAGACTTTCTTTACTGGCTTGTTTTGAAGATGTGAAATAGGGAATAGGGACAAATGAAAACACATTCACACGAGCAAACTTCGCTATCTTATGATGTTTAAATGTTTGAAAACTGTCTTATTTGGCAATACGATTGGATTATCTCAAAGAATTTTGAACCTTTGAGGGAGTTATAACAAGGTGTGGACGAATATTTGAAATTCTCTCACATGGCCTATATATAATACACAAATTTGCACAGGTTTGATTCACAGTTTGTACTGCTGAAAGTAAAGTAACCAACAATTTGAGAACAATCATATTTATTCCCATTTCGCGACATGCGAAGTTTTAAGAAAATCGGGGATTAATTCCAAAATGTATTACAGAAAATCTTTTTTAGGATTTTTGCCATTTGTGAATTTTGCGGCATATATTATAATTTTTTGTACAGCCATGTTTTTTTTATTTGATGTTATGTTTTATGTTTTCAATTTTTTCCATTTTCAAAATATTTTTTATCTCCAGCATGTTTTTAGGAATTTACCACACAAACCGAATTGATTTGTGATAACAGGAGGCATACAGTCTACAAAAACGTTTTTTGTTTCTCTATAAATATTTCTGCTTCTGTTAACAATTTATTATACCTCAAATAGTATAAAGCTTTGCGGAAGTTTAATAATAAATTTCAATTGTTCAAGAAAACAAAAGTGATAATAATATTAATAATAGATTAGAAAACATTGTTTGTTAGAAGTTGAAACATCAAAGCATATGCGAAATCGTAACTAAATGTATTTATTTATTATTATTATCAGTGGAAAATTTATATTATTTGGAGTACTTATTAAGAATGTACGCCAGCCTAACAGTTTTTTTATATGATCTTTAAAGGCTGAATGAAGTTTTTTTGTAGAAAAAAAGGTTTTCTTTTTTTTTTCTTAAAGCACTGTTGCTTTCAATGGCATAAAACCGCATTGAAGATTTTTAATCAATAATAAACTCAGATATTAGTGTTGAATACGCCATTTCCCCGGAAATGTTTTTGAATAATCCCCACTAAACTTTTTTCTGATATTGGGAAGCTCTAAGCATTTCTATCGTTTTGTTCCAAATTGGACATTTAGGGATCTACTTCCTATGGCAGAACACTGTCTAAATAGGTTCACTTTTTCCCATACATACTTTCGGTATTTTCATGATACCAGCCACATTTTTTCACGGATATTAGGTTCTAACTTCCTACACAGATTCTTTTCAATTGGATCTATCTTTGTTTGTTCATATTGGTTTATGTTTTCTTATCGTAGGCATATTTATTTCGGTATTATCATGATTTTTGCCACATTCTCCAAGGAAATTGTCTACAATTTGAAGCTTGAAAACCAAAAAAGACACCAAAACCTGTCCAACATCGTCTAAGTTGAATCACTTTGGTTGGTTTCGTGGAAAAAACATCTTTGCTAATAACACTACGCGACAAAAATTCTACTTTTACAAAAGTTGTAGGAAAAATTCAGAAGATAAAGTACAGAGTTGCCAATATTCGACGGACCTATGTTTTATTTTTAAATTTTCCAATCGACGAGGCTTGTCCGCAGGCAACATTCTTTGCGTCAATTGAATTTTGTACGGGAACAAATGCAAATCAATGCGAATAATCCGTTGTAATGTGGACCGAGCCATGCCCAACTGTTGAGAACGGCGTTTTTGGGATGTTCTTGGGGACCTCTCAACACTAGCTCGTACGGCAGCGATATTCTCGGCCGATCGCCTTGGTCGACTTTTATATGGCCTCTTCGGATTAGAAAGAGCCTTATCAGTCGAAAATTTTTCGTATAAACGCTTAATGGTGTTCTTAGAAGCGATGTGACATCTCTGTCAAAAGCTATGGCGTTGCCAGATGGGTCCGTCGAATATGGGCAACCCTGTAGATCTTAAAATGCGTTTTGAATAATTAATCAAGAAAATATGAAATTTTTGGTTGCAAACACTCCGACATGACCCATGTTTAAACCAATGATTCTTGAATGAATCCAAATTCTTAAAGCTTTTATCAAATATTGCAAATTATATCTCAAAATATTTGGGGTCCCTTGTACAGGGCCAATGTTGATCAAAATAATTTAGGGAATATTTCCTTATTTTTTTTTTCATAACCTACACCACATAGTGGCAAGGGTATTATGTTTTTGTGTATTTTTTTGTAACATGGAGATGGAACAGTTACTTTTGATAACCTTCATAGAATCACTTTCTGAGTCTATTTTTTTAGTTACTTTGTACAACTTTCATAGAATCACTTTCTGAGTCGATTTATTCATGTCAGTCCGTCTGTCCAGATAGATTTAGCTCCCATGTATCTTCCAATATCAGTCCAAATGACCGGAATTTGGTACATTCGACCGAATTCAAACTTGGTGAAAATGGCTCCCATATTTTTTATTCATTTATCCCATAATTTATCCGATATGACGAAATGGCTAATATCAGCCCAGATGGACTGAATTTTGGCACTTCCGATGGGATTCACTGATGTACAGAAGCAAGTACATCACATTTGGTGATAATCGTTTTATATATAGGCATAGCTCCCATATATATATATATATATATAAATATATATTTCATTCGATTTAGTGTTAAAGACCCTGACATGCACAATATGTAGTACACAACAAAGACATCGGATACAGCTCGAAAATAACTTTGCGAAATTTTATCGAGATGGGTTCAGATTTATATATACCGATTTTACGGTTATTGTCCGCCAAATATGTAATATCAGCCTAAATTGGATAGATTTTTTTAATATTCAATCGAATTTTTCCAATTGGTTAAACTCGGTCCGGTATATCTATCGCTCTAATAGATATTTTTTAATATAATCCTTATCGAAGTCATATCAAGCACTATATAGTAACGTTATTTGGTACAAAAGCCTCCATCAAATTTGTTGAAAAGCGATTTAGAGTCACCATGATAAGCATTCAAACAACGTTCGTATTTGGTATGATCTACTTCACAGAATATCCCAGCATAAACTGGTATTGTTTCGGGAGCTCTACAAAATATGCTATGATCCCGTTCAAAGGGAGTTTTTAACCATATTTTCAATAGATGTCGAAAAAGACTCTTTTCTTGACTGACTTGAGAAGTAACATTTCTAACAATATAATTCTCGTATTTTTATCCACAAGAAGACGCTATATACCTAAAATCAACAAATTCCGAGGAATAATAATCCAAAGATTTCAAGAAAAAAAAAAAAATGGAATGGAATGGATGGGATTTTGCTACTCTATTTGGATTAGTTTACAATTTAAACTTTCAAAACGCCGATACATGTGTCTTCTATTTTTAGCTCTACTGCTGGAATTTCCCTGTAATTATTTTTTGTGTTCCACATAGTTATCAGTAGGGCTACTAATTTGGGATATAAATTGAGTTTTTATTTTTAAAAAATTAAAGCTTTAAGGTTTTTGAACTACACGTTCCCAGACGATTTTAACTTTTCCTTCCTTTTGAATTAAAATTTAAGGTACCATACAAAAAGGGTTTCTTGTAAAAAACATCATTCCCAGATATAGAATAAATTTTTTATAGCATCGAATCAAGTCCAAACTTTCCATATTAGTTATGGCCAATGTCCACCCACATTTCATCAAATAGAAATCTAGAAAATATTGTAATTCGCCTCTATAAAATGTTTATAGTACCGAACTACAGTTTCTGTAGTGGAATTCTCTAAACCATTTTTGGAGTTACCGACAAAATTAGGTAAAATTAAAATGCTTTTTATTTCGAAAATTTACGAAATTTGTCGATTAGTTAGCGACGAAATCAAAGTAATCGCTAAGACCGACCGATAGATACCAATGTTGTTAATTTTATCTTTTTTAAATTAACATTTTTGAGTTTCAAAATTAACGATTTTTGTCGGTAGGCCAAAAAATGACTAAGAGAATTCCACTACTGATTTGTGTAAAATACCTCAAAAGATTTTTAAAATTCCTATTTAATTTTCCAGAAAGTTCAGGATGATTTAAAAATGTTTTGTGTACAATATCTGCAAATTCTGCTTTAATATTCTCTTTTTGACTTTAAGATGTCGAGATGATTTCATGATGATTTGTATACTTAAAGCCTTCATCTCACAATTTCACATCGCTTGCCAATATCTGACAAAGTTATGAATAACACAAAACTTATTTTCAAAACTGGGTATGTGGAATATAAGTGTTTTGTTTTTGTTTTACAAAAAGAAAAAAAATACTTTGTTGGTCATAGAATTTATGACGGCACCAAAACGACGCATATCCTCAAACTCCAAAAAAGAAACACAAAAACAAAAAAAAAACACATATTTCATTCCCACTTTCTTTCGGCGATGTAATATTTTCCATTTTATTTTTCAAATCTATTTGCACAAACAAATGTCTGTGTGTATATAATAAGCTAAAATCGAGAAATAGAGAAAAACGACAACAACAACAACATGGAAATTCTGTCACAATGGAAAATGAAAGAAAAACAGCAACACCACGAGCAGGAGCAATCATGTAAAATTGTTCCAAAAATAAATTACAACAGAAGGAAATCCCAAACATAAAGAAAACCGAATAGCTTACACACAATATGATGTTTTAGCGGCGAGAGAGAGATTGATGAGAAAGAGAGAGAAACAAGGGAAAACGAGAAAAACTTAACGAAACTTTGCTTGGCTGGTTGTTTGGCTAGCTGGCATGCACGTGCTATACACATTCACACGCACATACTTACATGTAATTAGAAAGCAGCAAAGACACTTGTACTACACCACAGTATGTATGCAAGTGAATACATACGGCCACCCACTCCCCCACCCAAAACTGTTACAGTAGCCCAAAAACACTCTACCATGAGAGAGAGAGAGAACATTAAGAGAGAAACAAGAGAGCTTCCACCAAATTCTCTGTGTGTGTGAAAATATGACAGCATAAAACGTAAACTAGTCGTCATTTTGGGGTTTTCCCTGTTGTTCCAAGAAATAACCAAATCATTTTTCCTAAAAAACTCAGTGTTGAAAAAAACTTCACAGTGAGCGAACATTTCGATACGTGCGTCCGTGTGTGTGCAACAAAACGTTGTTTTTCTTATTGGATAGTGTAATTAAAAATATTTATCCTTTTAATTTAGGTTTGTTTTGGAAGAATTGAATGCAAGCAAGCAAGTGTAGAGTGAATGATTTCAAGCTAAATTTACCAAAACAAAAGTGCAAAAAGTGCTGGAACTGGAAGTGAAGCAAGAAAAAAGAAAAATTGCCAAAGCAAAATAGAAATTAATTGGGAAAAAATTGTTAAAGTGAAAAAAGATCTAGAAACAAACAACAACAAAATAGCGTCGTAAAAATCCATCAAAAGATAGTTTAAACAAAACACAAAAATATTGAAGTGCCTGTAAAGGCCTTCAAAGAATTTGATTCAAAGAAATTTGAAGATTCATCAAAAGTGAATTCATGAATCAAACCAACACCAAAAAATTTTTGTAAATATTTCAAACAACAACTGTCACAACATTTCCGTCATCATTTTGTTGAAAATCTGCAAATGCAAAATACTCATTCAAAATAATCCGCAACCGCAATTGTTGAAGGATAACAAAAAAATAGAATTACCCCGATAAAGAAAAAAATAGAAAAATTTAATCTGTGATTTCTGTGATTTATTTAAAACAAAAATTATTTCTCCATAACACAAAAGCAAAAACGAAAATTTTCCAATTCAGATATTGTTTTAATGTTTCACTCAACACAACAAAACTTCAACATCACTGCTCCTCTGTAAATATACTCATTACAACAACAATAACAACATCAGCGGGAAGTTTATATGTAACAAAACACAACAACTACAACATCCCATAAATAATCAAAAATCCAAAAATAAAATTGGAGTTGGAAAACAATCGGAATCGAGAAAGAAACAAACGATTCAATGAAAACGGAAAAACAGAAAGGCTAAAATAACAAAACAAGAAAAATCGTGGAAAATTGTAGTAACTGCAACAACACCATACATTTGTTCTACAAATTAATTGTCTTGTTTTCATTTTGCTGACCGCAAAACCGAAATTCGTAATAAAACAACAACAACACAAAAATCATATGACGATCCTGACGCCAGTTTTGGAATAAAACGCCAAACAACATTCGAAGCAGTAGTAGCAGCAGCATTTAACACTTCGTCAACAACACTGGAAAATTGTCGTCGTAGTCTGTGTACTCTTGTTTCCTGTTATCCTGCTGGCTATAACGAGAATTACTCGCACACATACACACTCTCACACACCAGTGTTGCGTGTGTTCGCTCTCCCAACAAACAACCGAGGCAATCTCCAATACATACAAGTGTTGCGATAATTGTCACCGCCGCCGTGGACGTCGCTCTTTTAAGTCAACCGACCGACCGAACGACCAACGACGTGTATGCGTATGTAAAAGCGCGTGGTCGTCATCATTGTCGCCTTGTCGTCCTCTTTGCAAGTGTTCTTTAATTAACACCAAATAGAGAAAACAACAACAACAAAAATACCACCAACAACAAAAAAGCCAAGAGAGCATAAAGAGCAGTAGACGAAACAAAATAGCCGGAACAACGGAGTAACGAATATATCCGAAATAAAAAATAAAAGAAAAACCAAAACACCAAACCTAAAAAGTCCACTGTTCAAAGGAAACTCTCATTTTCTGTGTCATCGTCATCGTCGATTGCATGCCATGTGTATGACGTGTCAATCTACACAAATGTGTGTGGCCGTACATCTGGTGTAACACAATTATGGCCGAGCGGTCGTCCTATCAATATCAGAAATTGGATATACTGACGGTAGGTACAATTATTTTTTTTATTTTTATATAAAGTTAATAAAACAAAGAATTAAGGAATGTGGAATTGAAGGGGTTTTTATGAAATTTTAAAATATTGTGAGATAAAAAATTCACAGAAAAAGTTTGTGCTTCCATGTAAAGAGGCATAGAAACACTTCAAATGGTATTATATGCCTGAAAAACATCTTGACAGATCTTGTAAAGGTTTCTACATGAAGAATACCTTCTGAGGACCCTGAAAGATTTCTATTCATAGAAAGTTTTTTTTTAACAATGAAGACTTTTCGAAGGTCTTATAAAAATAATAGACCTTCTGAAGGTCTTCCATAAAAAATTAATCTGAAATTCTTTTGAAAATAAAATACCTTTCGTTAGTTTTCTATTCAGATACTACCTTTCGAGAGCCAACTAAATATAACAGATCTTTACATCTATTCATAGAATACTTACTTAGGGTATTTTATATACACTTTAGCTTTCATATTTGGAATACCTTCTGAGAGTATTCTATAAGTAGCTTACCTTCTAAGGGACTTCTATAAATAGAAGATCTTCTGAGGGCATACTTTTTACAAAATTATTTCTGTTGCAATTTTATACATAGAACGTTTTGAATACATACATAACCCTTGGAAGGTATTTTATTCATAAAAGATCAAATTAAGTCTAATATTAATAGGGGATCTTTTAAGGACCTCATTAGAGTCTTTTGTACCTTAAAAAGCTTCTGCATTGATTTTCTATAAAAAGAAGACCATCACTTTGGCCGCTATCCTTAAAAGATCTTTCTTAGATGAATTTTTAATGGAATTTTACAGTCAAACAGTTTTCAATATTATTATATTTACCACATCACCTATTTAAACCCTTAGAACAACTTATTTTGCTCTCTATCCTTCTGATGGACATTTTGTACATATATTTTGAAACCCCACCTGTTATACCCTCCGCCATGAAAACGAGGATATATTTAATTTGTCTTTACATTTGTAACACCTCTAAATATTCTTCGGAGACCCCATAAAGTATATGTATTCATGATCAGCATGAAATTCTACATAGATTTACGGTGTCCATCTGTCAGTCTTTTGAGATTACGGTTGTTTAATGAAGAGATTTGCCGTTAGAGATTTGCACAATATTGAAGCCCTTATAAAGCGATCCTTCTAGATACTCGGTATTTATATGGGTTTAAGCCCAATTTCCCACACATTTGTTTAAAAATTGGTAATTGTAGTTCATAGAGGGTTCTGCCTCTGGTGGCACAAATTGGTTTTCGTATATCGCATATATAATGGTACTTTCGGGTATTCGGTCTTTCGGTGGGCGTTTTAATGATCCTAGCCACAAATTTCCATCAAATTGTTTTTTTTCATCTCACCCTGTATATGGGAACTCTATCTTACTGAGTTGAAGCAATTTTTATAGTTTTGCTTTTAGGCTTAATTCGATCGTATTTGTCAAATTTGGACCAACATAACATTTTTGGCTCACAATAATATTGAAATAGGACGAATATAAAGCTACATCTAAATTTAGACCGATCATTACCAAGAAGGTTCGTCCCTAGGTGAAACAAATGATTTGTTGACAATTGCATTTCAACCAGCGCTATGTTTATTATGTACGGCCGGAAAAACCAATTCAGGAAGGGGTTCTATAGAAATCATACAAATAAATTATGAGTCTATCTCGTGCCCTTCTGCATATAACAAACAAATGCACAGGAAGAAAATGTATGGTACAATTTTTTTTTCATTTTTAAAAATTTTAACATCTATCATTTTTGTTGGAGAAAATATTTTCCAGAAAATCAAAAAAAAGAAAACTTTTGACTCATCGTTTTTGCACCCATGGGAGGCATTCGACACTCTAAATTTTAGCTTCATACTAAATATCTATTTTGTGGGATTTTTTGCAATTTTAAATGGGCTGCAGTCGCAAATTTCCATTCATCCCTTTCATTACTTAAATAACACTATGGTTTTCTTATTTCTACAAGTATTTAATTTTAGAATTGTGTGGTTGTTGGATATTAAAATTAAATATTAGGCTTGTCGTAATTTTTGGAATTTAAAAAAAAAAGAAAAATATCTTCGTGTAATTTAAATACTTTAGTTCCAGATTTGACAGAACTGAGTAAAAATGAAACTACACATCATAGCGAAACTACACATCTAGAAGTTTCCTTCTAAAATTCCCCCTTCTGTCGCCATGCCTATAACCTAGTTGAACCTCCTTTAAAAATACATATATACCATAAAATATGTCATGACCGATTTGCATATTCTTGGCACATCAAAGAGTGCCTCATTGAATGTGTCATTTATCAGTTTAATCCATGTAATAAATAGAAGTTTTCTTCGTCTTGGGGCATAGTTTACTTGCAGTTTTTGACCTCAATAGAGGCAATGCATGTCAACGTTGTTGTTGGTTGTTGGAAACCATAACAAGCTGCAGCTCCCCAGCTTTTTTTTTTGTATAAATTTTAATTAATTGCCATTTTTGCCTTACTCAGGGGTTATAAAACAAAGTAGCAACAACAAAAACAGAAGCTATGAAAAACTTAATAACAACTCTGCAGCAATCATGCTTTTTCTCCCTTCTGCCACATAGTTTTGCCACATTTTTCCTTTATTGTAGAGGGTTTTTTCTTTCTTACAATTGTTGTTTCCGTTTCAAGTCAATGTTTGTTTTTTTTTTCTTCTCTGCTTCTTGGGTCTCACGCATAAGGGCCGAAGTGTATAAAAATGTTTGTTGTATGTGCTCCGTTTTCTTTTTTAATTCTCCAATATCAAGTGACAATATCCAACAATTCATTCAACATGCATAAAATTCACATGGTATAAATTGCAAGGGATGGCGGATGCATGTGCGTGTCCGTATGTTTGTCCTAGCCATGATGCCATTTTAGGCCAGGTCTTGTTGGCCACATTGTTTATGGTTTGCATGTTTCTCGTCGGCGCTTTTAATAGATGGCTGTCAGACAACAATATCAATAAACGTGGCACTTGCACCACAATATGTACAAAAACAACAATTGTTACAGTAAATATAAATATACATACATACATATATAAATACATTTCAATTGAGACATGGGGGAACTAAATGGATTTTGTTTTGTACAAAAATATCTGTTAATGTCATGAGATATAAATAAAAAAATCATTTATTAAATGACATTTCCGAAATGTTAATTAGCTTTAAACTGGTTAGACCGTTAGGCCCAAATAAAGTGTATGAGGCAGAAAAAGTTAGCCACTTTAAATTAAATAGCCGGTAAAAAAAGTTATGTTTGTATTAGGGATTTGTCGAAGTAAGGAATACCAAGCATAATTATTGACGAATATGTGTTATGGGCGGTTTCATCGGAAATCGGAACACATCTATACCATATCGGAAGACATGAGATTTTTGTAAATTGTATGCGAACAAATATTAGTACCTGAACTTGATTTATGGGTTTCTATACCCTCTGCCATTCATAGTATGGAGGGTATACTAAGTTCGTCATTCCGTTCGTAAATCATCGAAATAATAATTTTAGACCTAATAAAGTGTATATATTCTTGATCAGCGCAAAATCCCCCTCCGTCCGTTTGTTGTAATAACGCTAGAGTCAAAACGAAATTAGACAGGAAGCTAAAATTTTGCACAGGTCAAGTTTCAAGATGGGCTATATCGGTCCACGGTCATATAGCCACCATATAATGGTACCCTCCGATATTCGATATTTTGATGAATACTGTCTCCACACAAGTAGTTCCTTTTGAGTATTTTACGCACTGGAAGAGAATTGCCTATAAAGGCCCACGATATCGAAAAGGCTCCATACAAAGGTATCATCCGATATTCGCTATTTGGATAATTTTAATTACATTTTTATCTAAATTGTTTCGTTTTTCGTATTTAAAGTTCGTAATGGGTACTACAGCATATGACAAAAATTGTGTCATCCAGTCACCAGAACTCAATCGCCGGCCATGGTGATGGTGTAGGCCGCCATAACAGCCGATGGTCTCTCTTCGCACGTATTAATCGGCCAAGAATGGTTACAAAATGAGGTTCATCGCTTCATTTCCAGCGCACAATGGTCACCAAAATCTCCGGACACCAATCCGTTGGATTATTCTGCCTGAGTATTTGGGCCAAAATACCGCAGAACAACGTTTAGACAGCGTATGACGGTTTCATTTGGCGTTTGAAGGCCATAATTCGTCCCAATGGTGACCAGTTCGAACAAATCTAAACTTATTCTAAATTTGATGCTAGAACCAACCAATATCGATATTTTGATGATGCTAGCTTCATTTTTCGCCGGAATTGTTTGAAATTTGGTATTTAAGACTCGCAATAGATAAAAATCCTTGGAGTGGATATTTGCCTCTATAGGTTCAGCCACATGTCTAGTTATACCCTCTGTCATATGGTAGAGAGGGTATATATCATTTGATACGGTCAAAATGTGCTTAGTCGAAATTACGGTTTTAGACTCTAGGTCTCTTTGGACCAAATCCGTTTCAGGACATTTGGAGTCCGTCCGTCCGTCCGTCTGTCTGGCTAGTGCGCACGATAACTCTCGAAGGGAGTATCCGATTGGGTCCAAACTTGGTACATCGTAATATTATTGTCAAACTTAGATCGAGTTCGGAGATGGGCAATATCGGTCAACTCCTTCTGGTACCGCCTTAACAAAAAGCCCTAATTTTCAAAAAAAAAAAAAATATATATTTTCTGCACAGAAAGAGAAGCGATAATCTGATTTTGGTCTAGCTTTGCAAATCCTAACACTTACATCATTTCTAGGTCAGATGCAAAACTGGATAAAATCGGTCTGCTCCATCTGGTACCTCCCCCACAAAGGGTCAAAATTTTGTGTAATTACAACTCTTATAAAATGTTATGTAAGAGTCCGATTGACTTCAAATTTTACACATTCTATTATTTTGATTAACCAAAGGTCTGGAACTAAGATGGAATATATCGGTCAACTCC